TCATTCTATTCGATTGGGTTACCTCTTTATCATAAGTGTAGTAACAGAGCTATGAACTCAGGAAGACCAAGAGTCTCCCAACTTTTTTCTTTTTCCAAAACGGTTCTAGCTCTTCTGGGTCCCTGCTCACCTTTTTTGATGTATGTTATATACAGAAATTTTTAAAAAGAGTTGAGAATCACAGAATAGGATTGTGGTCTTTAAACTCCACATCACATGTGCCTCAAGAGTTTTAAGCAGTATACATCTTTTATACAAAGATATGTAATTTCTGACAAACTATAAATACGAGCATTTAAAATACTATTTCTGTCAGAATTTGACTGGATTTTTAAATACAGGAAAATGATACCTTTCAATATCCATTAAAATCATGTCAGCTTTTCCAACAATTTTTGTCTTTCTAAAAAAAATTTTTAATTTTACTTACCTTGGGGAATGTTATTCTAATACAACACATTTTTAATATCAGTCCCAAATCTTTCCACAAAAAGGGATATGAGCTGATAAACTTTTTCTATGGTCATATGTTTTTAAATATTAAAACATTCTTGCTTATCGCAATTGCTAGTAGAAGCAGATAACTAAGGGAAATTGCACAAATATCACAAAATTTTAATTACTGGAAATCTTTTAGTGAAATAAATGGGTAAATTTATAGCATCATGGTTAAATTTTTTAAGAACGTGTGAAAGGTGAGCCTTCAGTAAAGTAGGGAAAGAGATCGAAAAGCAGGTACTTTTACAGGCATACGTGGAAAATGATTCACTTAAACAATCAGATTCTAAGTAACCCTTGGCAAACTCATAATTCTGCAGTACTCAAACCTCAATCTAAAGACTTGGCTAATGAATAAAATCTAAAGTACTATACAAATGTCTTCAGCTGTACTTTTATTTTAATCAATGTATTTTTACTTATTTACTCTCCATAGTTTAAATCTTTAAGGGGTTCAGCATCACAGGGATTCTGTGACCACTGGCCTTGGCAGGAAGGTTGCTTTGCAGTTTGGCACAAACCATGCCACTGTTTCCATGATCACAAGTTACCTTTCCCCAAATGACTGGTTTTGTTACGTTTGTCACCCGGAGTCACTGGATGGTTCTTTGCTTTGTACACGTAGGCACATCTCCTGCCCAATGAGAATTTAGTTTTATCCTGAGCATAATCACCTTCCATCCTAAATAGTGCTATGTGTTCCCTTTGGTTGGAGACCTCACCTGCAAACAGCCTTGCACTACAAGTTTCCAAACACAGTTAACTTCCAGAAGTCCTGTTCCCAGAGGCCTCCCCAGGCCCTAAGACTGGAGAAAGAGGAAGAGGAGTCCAAAACACCTGGCCTTTGGTGTCACTTCTTACCATAACTAACTCTCCCACCAGGATTTACTATTTCCAACTTTCCAACCCTGTGCTGTTTCATATCCCTTGTCTGACCATCTTCTCTGTCCCTAAAGGATAACACCTATTAAATTATTTATGTGGAGGCAGGTGTTGTGGTTCACAGGCTAATTTTCTGCCGAGCAGCACTGCCATTCTAAATGGGTGCCAGTTCATGTCCTGGTTGCTCCAACAAACTCTGCTTTCGGCCTGAGTAAACAAAGCAGAGGATGGCTCAAGTCCTTGTAATCCAGTACTCAAGTGTGAGACCCAGAAGCTCCTGGCCTCAGATCAGCTCACCTCCAGCCTATGTGGCCATTTGGGGAGTGAATCAGTGGATGGAATCTCCTCTCTCTCTCCATCTCTCTGTAAATCTACCTCTCAAAAAAAATTAAATCTTCAAAAAATGATTTATGTGGAGATTTTACCTTCTATATGACTTTCCTAGGTTTCCCATATAGAATAAAACAAAATCCCTTCATTTTCCTAGATCGTGTGCCAAATCAGAGTATAACACCTCTAATACTCACGTTATTTACTAATCTTTCATTTACTGGAAACTTCTTGAGGACTCATTTCATGTAGTTTAAACTGATTTTGTGCTTAGTACTCTATAAACAATGGCTAAATTGAGACATTTAAAAACATCTAAGTCTCAAATTCTTCTTTGATAAAAATTTACTTGCTAAACCCTTGTCTAGCTTTAAATAAATCCAGTATTTGGTATTTTCTAAAATTTGTATAAATGTTCTACTTTAAGATTACCTCTCTCCCTAGCAAGATCTCAAACTAGAGAAACAATCTTCATTATGTATTAAAAATGGTTACTTTATATGCTCTTTGTGATATTTCATAATGAAAGAAGTCCATGGGTATGATTATCCCTAAAAAACCACTTTTCTCAATGAGTACACAAACAAAAACAAGACTTCAATGGATGACTCTTACATAATTCCTTGCATGCTTTATCTACTATCCTTTCAGGAAAAAGTCTGTTGACATATTTTGGTATGTCAACAGAAACTTATTTTATTATTAGGCAGATTAGGAGTCACAAAACTAACTGAAATTATCTTCAAATTTTCTGGTACTTTCCAAAAATATTTTTTTTTCCCAAATGTAACTGCCAGTTCCCAAAGGCTCTGGTTTGGGAATTCAGTCACACTGCAAATCATATCACTACAGGGCGTGTGGTAAGCCTTAAAATGCCTAACCATAGCAAATATCCCATGCTTTCAAAAAATGAAGATCAGATCAGATTTTGTATCTATATTAGATGGTATTTGATATATAAAAAAGATTTCCCCAACTGGCTTGACTTGGTTTATACATTGAGTCTATTCTTCACTGTATATCCTCAAACATTCTGCCTATATTTGACTGCATTTAAGCATATATGTGGCACACTGTGTTACAGCCATTAGTCACATTAGGCTATTTATATTAAGTAGAATAAAATATTTAGTATCTCGGTCACATTAGCCAAATTCCATAGCCACATGTGACTGAAGTGACTATACTTAACAGTATAAATATAGTAACAAAAATGATGAGAATATGATTGAGAGTAACAAGCAGAAGCAAGGAAGTCATATTGATTACTTTCGATTAGTCAGAAAAGCCCACCCTGAAGAGCTGTCATTTGAACTGAACTTAAATAACAAGGAGCAGGTAGCAAAGATGTGCAAGGAGCATTCAAAGCACAGTCTACAACAGACAGAAGGCCTTAGACACAAAGGAAACTAGGTAACTTAACAACATAAGCCAGTGAAGCATACAAATAAAAGCAGAGCGGTAAGAGTTCCAAAAGGCACCAGGAAGCAAAGCCTTAGGGCTGCCAAGCCAGGTAAGAACTGCACACTTCATGTTAAGCTCAATGGAAAACCTCAGAGGGTTATAAACTAGAAAGCTGTCATCTTAAGTCCTGTCTCACAAGCTTCCTTTGACTGCTACTGAGAATGAATTCCACAGCAAGAGTGGAAGCAGAAAGGCCAGTTAGAAACAGGTGTCAGAAAGAAAAGGCAGCAAATGGGAAAAAGCTGTGCTCCTCTTCTCAGCATCTCCTGGTTGCAGTCTCGCCTCTACCTACAAAGCTCCTTGAGGCAGTCGACTTCATTTTTAAAAATGTTCATTCATCATGTTTTCCGGAAGTCTCACAGATTCTACCTCCTAATAGCTTTCTAATCTAGCTCTTCCTCTCAGATACTGTTCGTTATTTGAGTTCAAGCTCATTACCGAAACAGCCTCCCAACCAATTTCCGAGCTTCCAATCTCCCCTCCACATTGCTGCCAGAGCACGCTGCAAGCACTGAAAAATTCGGTCGATTTCCTTCGGTATAAATCTGCCCAGCCCATTTCCCTACTTCCAGATCCACCTGATAACCTTCATAAGACAGACTTTCCGTGGTCTAGCTCTTTTTGCTATTACGGCCCCACCTGCCCCACTCTTCCCTTCACCTCCTCCTCTGCAGCCCTTCAGCTGGTCTTGATTCTCTGAACACCCTGTCATTTCTCAACCCTCTCCCTCTACACATGCTATTACCTTTTTATATTCCTCTACTTCAAAGGTAGGCTTAAGCGTGACCACTTCAAGGAAGTGCCTCCTGCACATCTCAATCACACATAAGGTAGCCACCTTGTCTCTCGGCAAACCACAGGCTCTGAGAGGGCAGACCCCAGCAACCTTACCTACTGGTTGTGTGGCACCTACAATTTCCACGGAGTATTCATGAGCAGTTTTGATTTGATATTCCTAAATTTTAAAACGGGAGAGGAGCTTCTCGTGTGGTCTTTACATCACCATTCCAGCACGGCACTAGACTACACAGCAAAATGTGCTTCATTCTGATAACGCCAGGAGAAGCCCAAACACAAAAACGCACCTTTGCAAACAGATAAATGTAAAGAAATCCGAGGAGTCATGCCATGGCTAGTAAATCAGCCATGGGATTTTACATTGTATGGGGGGGGAGGAGACTTTAACCCTGTGTCAGCACACTAATTGGTGGAAGCCTTCCCACCGCAAAGAAGCAAACTGACTTCTCTCGGTCCCGTCACTGTAATTTTAGTTCTTAATGTCCACTCTCAAACTCATTTCCTGACAGGCTATTTTCCTTATTTAGAAGAAGTTAGTCACCACCTTAAGGCTCCCACTTGTCAATCGGCCATTTGTTCTGTGAATCGGAATGGGGAAAAGGGGACGGGGGAAGCGAGCGTTGGGGATGGTCAACGCATCTGGAAGAAGAAACACCACATTCCCGAGGGTGGAGAGTGGGCGTCGGGGCAATGCCAGGGTGGAACACGGACCTCAGGCAAGGAATGGGGTGCGATCACCCAGCAGGTACCTTGGAGCGGGGAGACCGGGAAGGAAGGGGAGAGCGAGCTCGGAAGGGGTGGGGTGCTGGACCGAGCAAGAGGAAACCAGATGCAGTTTGGGTGCAGAGGGACTGAGAAACAAAAAGCTGGGACGGGAAGAAGCTACCACAGCTGACCCGGCTTTAAGGCAAGGCGGGCAGGGGGTCGTCCCTGAGGCCAGCCAAGGTGGAGCGGGTCCTGGGGCGGTGGCAACTCAGCAGGGGCCGCGGGAGACACGCGAAGGGGGCGGCGAGGTGAGAAGCACTTACTGGGGTCCCTCCGCACGGCGCCACTGGGGGTCTCCTCCCGGAGGTGAGGGAAGAGGAAGTCCCGGGAGGCCTGGAGGTCCTGGAAGGAGCAGAACTGGACAATGGAGCAGGCCATGGCTCCGGGAACCCCACTCCGGCACTCGCCTAAGGCTGAGCACTCCCAAGCCCCTCCGCCCCACGGCAGCGGCCGCCGCGGAACTCCGACAGCCTTAGCCGCGCAGGAGGCGGGGAAGCCAAACCGGAAACTGTCAGCGCACTCGGGACTCCCGCCCCCGGAGCACTGCGCATGCGCGGGACCGCCCACTGCCGAGTCAGGCTTGGTTCGAGTCACGTGAGGAGCGGGGCTGCTGGCAGAGGTTCCAGCGTCTACGTGGAGGCTGGAGGTGGGTTTTTAGTCTTCCTTCTGAGTCTTCCAACGTCAACGAAGCCCTGCAGTCATTCTGGCTGTTATCCAGAGATGATCTAATTGAACTTTGCTCGGATGTTTGAGTCACTCAGCTTTCCTACTGTTGCCCTACCAGTCGCAGGATTCCTGCATTTCAGAGATGAGTCAAATTTGAACTAGTGAGTGGCAAGCCAGTGGAGGACCGTATCACGCAAATATCAGATTTTGAAGACTTAAGTTTCTCTTAAAATGTCCTCCTGCACACCTGCTACTCGTGTAGAATTACGCTGTTTATACTCAGGTTTTCATGTAGTCACCGTTGGCTGCTGCCTGCTAGGGTGTGCTTGGTGGGCAGCTGGAGTCAGGAGCTGGAGCTGTTAACGACGGCTGGCCTTCTGATAGGAGACATGAAGCCTTAACTACTTGACCAAATACCCTTCCGTGCTTTTTGTTTCTCCAAGTATTTAGATAGTCATAGATGCCATATTGAAAACCTGTGTTTCATTTTGATTTTTTAAAGTGAAATCAGTCTGTCACAAAGTACGGTGGGTACTCACAGTTCCCGGAGGAGACCTGATTATCCACTGTGTATGAGTGAGAAAATAGCTTTACTTGGTTAATTAAAAACATATTATTGGGGTGGGTTTTTGTCCTGGTAGTTGAGGTGCCACTTGGGATAGATGCCTGTATCCTGTCAGAGTGCCTGAGTGTGAGTTTTTATTCTGCTCCGAATTCCAGCTCATGCACACCCTGGAAGGTGTCAGGTGATGGCTTAAGTGTTTGAGTCCTTGAGACTTACATGGGAGAACCTGGATCAAGTTCCAGGCACTGCGTTGACTAGCCCCCATGGGCTGTAGGCATTTAAAGAGTGAACCACCTCATGGGAACTTTGTATTTCTCTCTGCTTTGCAGATTGAGAAAACATAACAAAGCAAAACAAAAAGCTCATTGTTTTTTGGAAGCAAAAGATGTCATTCTGTGAAATCCATTCAAGTTTCTATTTCAGGATATGTGTTTTGTGGGGATGGCTGTCCTTGGCTGATTCAGCAGAACCTGTTTTATCCTAAGGCTTGCCTGTATCTCCAGGGTGGCACTGAATTTCACTACTGCTTTGGTTCCGTTTCAGCCATAGAGTCTTGACTTCCTTCCAAGCAGTGTTGAAAAGGCTCATTCATGAATTTTTTAAAAAAAGAGTTTAGAACAATACATTCACCAACTGAACTCTAGACAGCTTCCCCAAGGAAGCTGTAGCACTGCAGGCGGACGCCTCAGTTCTGCTGCCATGGTTTCTGTGGCAGGCAGGAGGGTAGTGCCAGACAATGAATGTCACTAAGCAGACAGCTGGAAAGCACACTGCAGAAAATGCACAGGTAGTACGTGTCCTAGTAGAGCCAGCGTTTTTCTACAGTGTGAGTTCAGGAACTCAGAAAAACATATTTGACAAAACTAGCAGGAGGTGGAGATCAGTGTTGTAGTGCGGTGAATTGGGATGCCCCACACAATATGCTGGTTCAAGTCCTGACGGTTTTGGTTCTGATCTAGCTCCCTGCTAATGCCCTTGAGAAAACAATGGAGGATGCTTGTGACCCAGGTGCTTGTGACCCTGCCGTCCACATGGAATACCTGGATGGAGTTTCTGGCTCTTGGCAAAGCCACAACCACTGCAGCCATTTGGAGAGTCAAATGATACAAAGAAGATTCTCTCTTTCTCTCTCTCTCTTTCTCTCTCTCTCTCTTCCTCCCACTCTCCCCTATAATTCTTTTAAATAAATACATAAAACTACAAAAATATAATAGCAGGAGCCCAGATAGCCGTTGAACTTTGTCCCTTATCTGTTAACATGAATGAGTTCTGATGACTGGCCTTAAAAGAGAGATCCTGGGGCCTGCCGTGGTTGTGGCTTTGCCAAAACCCAGTAACTCCATCCAGGTATTCCATGTGGATGCCAGGGTCACAACCATTAAGAAATCTTTTCCCAGTCCTATATCTTGCAGAGTCCTTCTATGTTTTCTTGAAATAGTTTGATGGGGTTTCTGGATGCAGATTTAGGTACTTGATCTATTAAAAGCTGATTTCTGTATAATGTAACAGGTGTGGGTCCTCTTTTTTCTGCAGGCTGCTATTCAATTGCTGATTCAATCTCTATTCTGGCTATAGGTCTATCTAAACTACTTATTGCCTCATGAATTAATTTGGGTAGATTGTTGAGTCCAAAAATATATCCATGTCTTCAAGATCTTCTCATTTGTTGGAGTATAGTTACTTGTAATAGTTCTTGATTATACTACAAATGACCAAGATATCTTTTGTTATATTTCCTTTTTTTGTCTCTGATTCTACTGATTCATATCTTATCCCTTCCTTTTTAAAAATTAGTTTGGAAAGCTATTTTGTTGATTTTTCTTAAAGAGTCTGCTCTTTGGTTCATTGACCTTCTGTATTATTCTTTTGGTCTTTATTTAGTTTATTTCTTCCCTTATTTTGATTATTTATTTTTTTCTGCTGTCTTAACATTGCTTTGCTGTTGTTTTTTCTGGCTCCTTTAGACATATAGTTAGCCCATTTACTTGGAGCTTTTCTAATTTCTTGACATAAGCATTGAAGAAATGAACTTTTCTCTTAACACTGCCGTGATTGTATTCCGTAAGCTGTGATCTGTTGGATTGAGGCCTTCGTTTGTTTCAAGTGATTTTTAAATTTCCCTTTTGGTTTCTTCTATAACTCATTGTTCATTTAGCAGCATATTATTCGGTTTTCAAGTGTTTCCTCCATTTCTGATCCAGCTTCCTGATAATGTACCTGGAAGAGCAGAGGAAGAGATTTAAAAAAATTCAAGTGTTTTACAATTCAGGCTCTTGTGTTTCAGCTTTCTTCCTTTATTATTTTTAGGGCACTTCTGTTTTTATGTAAAAGAAATTTGGATCTGATTCTGTTTTCTTCAATGATCTGTATCTTCCTTGGAAGAAACTTTATATAGCAAATGTAGGTTAAATTGTGTTGAATGCTGAGTTTAATTCTATGTCTGCCATTAATTAATGTGTATTGCAAAAAGTAAAATGTTTTTACACATTGTAAGGAAGACGACTTTGATATAATTGTGGTACATTAAAATCATATGGTGGATTATTTTTGTTTTTAAATATTAGGGAATGAAAATATTTAAATTTTAATATGTCAGGAACTATGAAATCCTCTCTCCCTCCTGCGTACTCCTGCATGGCTGCAGGGAGGCAGAATCCTAACAAGTGTTACTAAATGCCATCACCCACTCCCCTCCCCCAGTGTGACACTAGAGCCAACCTCTCCATTCTCTTGTGATTGCAGTGGCAAATATATTTCAGAAAATGACCTTGATGTGTATTAATCAAAATCAGAACACACAGAATAGCTTCTTGCTAACATGATGAGTTGATGTAAAATTTTGTCACACCTGTTTTCTTTCAGAAGGAGACCGCCTTGTAAGAAGATGCACCTGGGAAAGCAGAAGAAGGCCCAAGTACTGCCACCCATTTGGGAAACCTGGATGAAGTGCCCGGATCCTGGACCCAGCACTGGCTATTGCGGCATTTGAGCAATGACAACTCACTCTCACTTTTTTTCCCCATCTTTTTTGCTCCCTCCCTCCTTCCCTCTCTCTGTGACTTTGCCTTTTATACAAAATAAGTAAAATGTATTTTTAAAAGGAGATGAGAGGTGCTTAAAAAGGAGATGAGAGGAGCTTACTGGGGGTGATTAGCAATGGGCTCCTGCCAAGCATATGGTTGAGTGGGTTGATATGCAGGATGGGCAGCAACATTGCTGGAAAAGACCAGCAATGGACTTGTACTCAGGAGACCTCAAAGCTATCTCAGCTTTGCCACACATCTGTCTCATAATGTTGGACAATGCATGCCACATTATGGGCCTTAGTTTATTGATTTGTAAAGTGGAGAAGCTTCTCTCTAAATTCATTCCCAGGAGTGTGTAGGTTTTTGTAAGAGATTCAGAAGGGAATGCCTGAGAAATGAGTGATTTAAAAAGAGTGTTCTATGTAGTCACTCCAGAAAGAGGCCTAAGTTGGCAGAAGAGAACATGAGCACACTGAGCATTGCTAAGAAGGGGGAGGATTGGAGAATCAAGATGGCAGAATAGGGTAAGGGAAATCCCAGGGCTTATGGAACTGTATCATAAAATAATAATAATAATAAAAGAAGATGAATCTAAGGATAGAGAGTAATTGAACCTCTACTTCATAGTTTAGCAGAGGCCCAGAATTGAAGATCATGTGAGAAGAAACAAGGGTATTATAGCTAGTTTTTATTCAACAGACATCAGGGAGGGTTTGATTCCACTAAGATGCCATAGTGGGTATAATGAAGCAGCAAGAATGAACTCTCCACGCACTCCATAAAAGAAATCATGATTTTTGTTGGAGCAGAGGGTGACTTCAAGTTTTGGATAAAGAACTATAGAAGAAATAACAGATGGATTCGTTTTTAAAGCTGATTAGTTGTTAATTTGAGGGAAAGAGTGAGTTCCCTTCTATTGGTTTACTCTCCTAAAGGCCTGAAATAGCTGAAGCTGTGCCATGTTGAAGACAGGAGCTGGGAACTCAATCCAGGTCTGCCATGGGGTGGTAGAAGTTCAACTACTTCAGCCATCACTAGCTGCCACCCAGGTTGAACATCAGCAGGAAGCTGCCACCTGGAGCAGAGCCAGGGCTCAAACCCCAGCACTCTGACAAGGTATGTGAATGTTTTGAGCAATGACTTAATGTCTACCCCCTTGGGAGAAGTGATTTTTGACCATGAGGCTTGTCCTGTTAG